AGCCCTGTGGGACCCCACTTCCCACGTCCTTTCAGGTTGAGAAGGACCCATCCACTATCACTCTCTGGGTGCGACTCTCTAGCCAGTTGGCGACCCATTGGACTGTATGGGTGTCTATGCCACAGTCCCCCAGCTTCCTAATGAGAATGGGGTGAGAGACGGTATCAAAAGCCTTCCTGAAGTCTAGGAAAACTATATCCACTGCCACCCCTGCATCCAACGATTTAGTGACCTGGTCGTATAGTTTGCATGTATGGGGCTTCATATACCTATGAAAGATGCCAGTGAAGATGGATGGTCATGGGTCGTACTGAGGACCTTGCAGTCGGACTGGCAGAGACTTTACCATGCCCTATGCTGCTAGGAGTCTGTTGGCCTTACCTCCAAGGGGTGGTGGATCCTTCTGATTCTCACATACTTAACAATATACTAGGGCATGGCTAAAGATGCTTTAGATCAGTGGTTCTCAATCTATGGTACACGTACCACCAATAGTACACATACAACCTGTCAGCGGTATGCGTTAACAGATTTATTATAATTACTTTATATGGCAGAACTTTGCTGGTGGTACTTAAGGCTGAACTGAAAAGTTTGCTGGTGGTACTTAAGGTTGTATCATTTTAAATTGGTGGTGCACAATCTGTAAGAACTTGAGAACTGCTGCTTTAGATCTCTGTAAGATGAATTTACTGCCAGGTTTCTGCCTTCCTGATGTTCCTTGTAGAGCAGTTGATACTTTCCCATAAAGGAAAAGTGAACATGGAGCACAAGAATTTATATAGCAGAATAACTAAATTTCCACTATATTGTTCTATATAGTTCCATTCCCTCTGTACCTTTTTTCATATCTCAAACTTTTAGACTTGCACTGAGTCTAAAGAATCCCTGTTCTCATGAAGAAGGTCCATCTTTTGGTTCACTGAGATCTTCTCCCATTCAGAGACTGCAGGATGTAGTGCTGTAGTCTTCTTCTGGACATATGGTTCTCATTGACCTCAACAGAAGCTGCATTCATCCTTCCAAAAGCAGAATTAGGCCTTTAAGATATAACAATGAATCTGTTTCCAAACCACTCAAACCACCAGCATAAGAAACAACTGTATAGATCACTGTTTCTATCCTATCAACTTCTTTGATATTCATCACTAGAAACTGGTAGTGGTGATGCAGAACTAATCCTTTAATTCACATGAATCCCAGATCTTTCTATATGCACAACGTAAATAACTTATGGCTAACCATGTTCTCACCTTGAACTATTTTTAAATGTACATTTTAATTAGGTTGGTGTTTTCACTTTGAATAAGTTGGTCTTTTCACTTTACAAATATTTGGAAATATCTGACACTTTCATATTGTGTGCTACACAGGATTTCACTTGGACTGCATTGCCTTGAGGAATCAAGCCATCAGTTTTCTATTTTCAATCTTTATGACTAGGAATTTGCCAGATGTAACAAGGGGCACCAAAAGTATAGAATTAGCTTAAAAGAAAAACAGATGATGTACTTCTTTATTCTGCTCAATTTACTAACACCTTATTCTGGAACATTTCTTTTGCAGCAGATGACAAATGACAAGACCAGTGGATGATGAGATGCAAAGTTTTATACTCTCACTTGTAATGTTCTGTTGGAAGAAAGTATTAGAAGCACAGTCTATGCTTTAGGAATTGTTCCTGAAATGTCTAAAGGAATATTATGAGATCATTAAGCTCCCCTGGTTACCTTCTGCACAAAAAAATTACATATTGCTCTAGTCTCAGTACATTTCCTTGGGAAGACTGGGGAAAATTCAAGGTTTTGATTCTTATCTTTGAAGCCTTCTGTTGGATTGGTCTAATTTACCTAAGGGACCATCTCAGCCTTCATGATCAGGGCTTCTCTTGCCAGATGCATTCCACTGAAACAATGGATATGTCAACTCCATGAATAGAAGTTGTGCATACTGAAAACAGAACAATTGTTGTGAGTGTTCATAAATCTGGAACTCCTTCCCAGAGTTTATCAAAATGAATATAGATCCCAGTAACTTCAAAGCACAACACATTTCCATCTTGTGATATCATTAAAACTTATTCTGTAAGATCTTTTAGATTTTTTCTGCTCTTTGTAAATTTGATTTCGGTCATTTTAAGGTGGGACTATAAAGGAGGACAACCACTTCTATGCAAACAACATTAAGGCCAGGTACAGACATTGCCATTTTAGCCTAGGAACAGAAATTACACATAAACTGTTATAAGTGATCAGAAACTGGTTAAAATCTGTAACAACAGAAGTTCAGTGTATGTACACCACTTTCAAAATACCCAAAACTGGTTTAAGATAAACCTGGATGGAGGTAGTATCAGACTTAACTGATTTAGGTTAAATTGGTTTATTGAAATTCTGTTGTCCCAAATCCCCTCCAGATTCAAATTAATTCACAGTCCCCCAGCACCCCATGATGCTTTGCACCAGCTCTACAAACCACTCCCCCTCTCCCCCTCACAGGGTGGATCAGATAGCTGTGGCCCAAGCTATCTGTTCTGGCCATGCAGGGAGGTATGCTCTCGGACCCCCCGGATTTTGCCCTGAGCCACTGCAAGCAGGTTAGCTGCATTTTTGGAATCAAAAGTGAATGCCTATAAATTTGTTTAATCCATGTAGGTTTGATCCATGTAGTTAGACTAACTTGTGAAGAATGAATCCATTCAGCAACAGGCTTTCTGACTCTCTGTACTTAGCCTTACTGGCGTAAGTGATTGGACACTGGTCTATACCCATAACAGAACAGAATGTTGGCACCCAGGCTGGTTTAAAAATGGCAGAACCTGGTCTAAGATTTGCTCCTCCCACCAAAGGGTGACTGTGTACTTCATTTGCTACCAGTCTAACCTACGCTGCTTACTGAAAACCACACAACAGATCAATTCTGCCTCAGGCTTTTTGAATGTATGTACCTAGCCCAAATGTTGTTACAGTAACTGACAAACCCTAAAAGTTTAAATCTATCCAACACTACCTATGTTGGCTACACAGGACCATCTCCCAGGATCATCATAAAATTCTAGTTTATTAGACAGATGCTGAAGTCAAGTCATAAACCTTGGAGCTGATCCCCTCAAGCACACGCACTTTCACACACACACACAAACACACACACACGCTCATAGCAGCTAGCTATGAACACTAAGCGCTGGTGTCAAGATATACCTATACCCGAGCACTGGAGTCTGCCATCAATGGTCAGTCGAGGCTTCTTTCAGTGAGATGTTGGCTCAGAAGGGGGTCACTGGCTGGTCCCTCTGGCTGGGCAGGCAGGGTGCCGGTCAGGTCAAACAGGGCGCCACTAGGGGTCATTTTTCACTGCCTTTTAGCCCTCTCTGGCAGACTTTGGTGACTCCCCAGTTTTCAGGCTTACCCAATCTAAGTGTCGTTGACCTCATGGGATGTCCCCCTTGGTGGTTGCTGGATGGCAACTGTCAGTCCCAGGGGTCACGTCCACAGGTACATGCAGTCTTGGGAGTCCACTGATTAATTAAGTTTGATTAATTCACTGTCGTGATAAATAGGGCTCTGGGAGCGGTCGATGGGGGGGTATTCAGTCCCAAGAGTCTGTCTTCGGCATCGATTAGTTCAAACTGGGGTTTCTGTACCTTTAACAGTGAAGTTTCAGGGAGTTCCTGGCTCTGTATTGATCCTTTCCTCTCATTAGTCTGTGGTTTGGTAGATGTTAATTGCCACTCATTAATTTGTTATCTTGGCTAGCTACTGTGCTACGCAATCAATTAAGATTCATTCAGGTACTCGCTCAATACAGAGAAGCCACAGTTTGATTCCACCCTTGTACATGGTACAACTTACTTTTAAACTTAAAGAACATTTGTTACAAAGTTAAAAAGCATAGAATATAAAACATAAAAGGGTGAAATGACATGGCACATATAACAAATAGACCAAATACAATGGGGGGGCATACTAAGGCAGAAAACTATTTTATACCCATAAAAGCATCTGCAAACTATATTTTTATTACAAGTACACCTTATATTCTATAAAAACAATAATAATCTAATAAAAGAAGAAGAGGGAAGAAGGAAGAAAAGGTAGAAAAGAGAAAGCATCCCCCAGCGGGGGAAAATGCTGCAAAAGGGGCTTTTGCCATATGGAGGGGCTTCACATTGGAGTGAGGGCAGGCAAAGAAAAAGGTTTCTTTCTACACCCATAGCTCACAGTGTTCCTACTAAATAAAGAAATAAAAACTGAAACAAAGGAAAGAAAGAAAAGGGCCAGAAAAAGAAAAAGGATCTAACAACAATGGAGAATGGAATATTAACATTTAACTTCATGTTTTTGTCAGTTTTTCTACCACTTCAGTTTCTGTAGATTTGATTTCATGTACTGAATTTCACATAGCTGCATGTATGTTTGGCATTTGAGGTCAACTGATTTAAAGAGAAAGAGGATTGCCAAATACTGCCTAAAGAATGGTCCAGGTTTCTACTATTATTTTCACGATGGGTTTCATACATAAGAAATAAACTAGTTTGCTTTATTTAAAAAAATAGAAATTTTGAATACCATCCTGTCATTGAGTTCAGCCAGCTGAATCATGACCAGGGATCCTGGTTTTCTCTGGGGAAAAAAATCCCGTTTTCAGATTTAAAAAAGAGTAACCCAAAATCCACATTTTTCCGTGATTAAAATGAAACACCGTGTGTGTGTGTGTGTGTGTGTGTGTGTGTGTGTGTGTGTGAAGTTTCATTTTAATCACAGAAAAATGTGGATTACTTTTGTGGAATCTGAAAATTGGGGATTTTTTAATTTAATCAGAGAAAACCAGGAACCTTGATCATGACTAAATCCTCAGCTGCTGCAAGCTAATGCAGTTTCAATGGCTTCAAGGGAACTATGGTGATATACACTAGCTGAAGACCTAATGCTCCAAATGTACATTTTGATACTCTTTTGACTTTTAGTTTTTAATCAAAGATTTATCAAATTTACAGTTAATATTCTATAGAGGTGAAGTACCTTTGCATTAGTCTGTACAAAACATAGGCCTGACTGCTTAGAGGCACTGCTCTGCTTTCTAACTCAAGAAAGGTTGAATATCTCTACATTCAAGCTTTTCCTCATTGACGGAACTAGAACTTCTGACAGGAATATCTTGTTTCTCTGCTGTCTCACTGACAATATAATCAAGATCTAACGTAGTCATTTATGTTATTCAGTCCAAAGCTGAGCTTATGACTTACAAGCCAAAATCATTTCTTAACTTACTACAGAGACTTCTGACAGAATAGAGAAAGCTTGAATGCCATTCTCTTTACTATCTAAATATAAATTAAACTTCTTGCAGTCCACCCACTAACAAAATTGATTTAAACACTACCCATTCTTATACAAGAAACTGGGAAAGACAACAAACTCTCTTATATCCAGCCAGTTTGCCCAGGAAATCTAATCCATTCCCTTATCCAGAACTGGCAATTAGTAAGACCCTGTATTGCCTAGTGAAAGCATGCAGGGAATCCAGATCTTACACCTAAATCAGACCCTAGTAACTTTTCCTGAGGGACAAAATTGCTCCCAAAGTGCCCCAAGAGTGAACATGTATGACTGAGGAATCTCAGCTGTTCATGAGAATTCAAGAATATTGACAGCTTCCTCAGGTAGCCCATTACATCCATATCCTCAATCTGTAGCCAAGGCAGGAAATAAGCACAAACAATAGTTTTAACTTTCACCTCTCATAGCACAGCTGGTCATCAATGCAGGGAAAGCAGAAAAAGAAAAAACGTAAGAGCTGAAAACATGTTAATCATCAAATCACTGTGGGGATAAATCCAAAGAAAAAGAGGAGGAGGATAATGTCAGACATTGTACTTGGGAACCATCATTTTAACATTTTTCGTATTTTGGAAAACATGAGAAGCTTTAGAGTGATTCAAAAGAATTTGCACTCTGCTGTAGGAAGTGTTATCTTAAAATTTATCTCATCCCTGGAAGACTAATTGTCCATATCTGTATTAAAAGAGCACACACAGGTGCCACCAATCAAGATCTGGGTGCCACTGCACTAATCACTGTGAAAATACATAACAACTGCATGCATTTCAAGGTGGGTATGGCACCCATGAACAGAGCAGAACTAAAATGTATAGATCTAAATTGCCATGCCAATAATTTAGGCATTTGCCTCCACAGACAGAATCCAAACAGAAAAGGGATATATGACAGCTCTCAATGGCTTGGAGACAGCAAACCAGGATTCACAGTAGTCAGAGATCCATGCAGGGTTGTACAAGTCAGTCAGTAGGAAGTGTAGAAGAGATGGGGTTCCCTGGGATCCTGCCCATCTCTCTGATTTGAGCAGTGCTTAGGCAGTTTCCTGAAACCCCAAATTAGGTGTTTCTGCTAGTGTGGGATTCACAAACATAATGGGTTTAGATATTTATGTAACCCTTCTGGCAATACACAGGTGGGGTTTAAGTCGGGGGCGGGGGGGATCATGAGCCCCACCCAGATACCTTGGGAAAATAATCTTTACTGTAGATCCTAAAAGAACAACTTCCCCAGTTCCGTAAGTAATTCATTCTCAAACAGAAAATAAATGTTTATTAAAGGGAAACAAGAACAACAAAACCTTATCAAACAATACAACTGTCAAGCACCCCAACTAATAAGCACTTCAAATAACAAACACCCTATGCTATTAAATACCCCAACAATTAAAATACACCTTGTTCTTTCAGTTTCAGTCTCTATCTGAAGCACCTCTTCCCCAAGGAGCTGCTACCTTGCCCAGTCCAGGAGGGACTGGGTCTCCCTCAGGATTGCTGGTGGAGATTGAATCACTAGCTATTGTACCTGGGACACCATTGCTTCACTACCAAAGGTTGGCGCAGATATGTGCTGCCTCCTACCACTCCTTTAAGGGTCATTCTACCTGCTATCACTCAGGGTCTCCATTGCTGCTTGGGGAGTGCTGCTTAAAGGTCTCACTGCCTGTAATGCATGAAATTTTGCCACCACTAGTAGAATAATCTTAACTCTTCAGGTGTTGAAGTACCTTAGGTAGCTCTATGCT